AAATAGTTCCAGAGACCCCATCTCCAAAATAACCAGAACAAAGTGAACTGGAGGTGTGGCTCAAGCAGTATAGTGCCTGTTTTGCAAATGCAAATCCCTGAATTCAAATCCCAGTCCCATCAAAAAAAAAAAAATCATAATTTAGGCTACCGAGATTGCTTCACGAGCACCTTTCAGTTCCTAATGAATTTTAAAGAAAACAGATGAGAAATCAGACTGTGTAAACAGGACACTATGGAAGTAGTTTGTGCATGGAAGATAAGAGCCTAAGTGACAGACCCACTCCAAAGACAAAGCTTTGGCCTGTCCAAAGACCGGCCAATACATGATAGTTTTAAGTACCATTAAAAGAATTTAACTCATGTACGTAAGATTGTGTTTAACACTCCTCTTTGACCAGTTTTTCAAGTAACTGTCTAACTTAAAGTCCAACCAGGTTGAACAGCAGAGATACTATTGCCTGTAGAAAACAAATCCATTCCCCCAGGGACCAAGAGTGTCTCAGTCACCATTAACTCCCCCAGTAACTCCCCAGTGTGGTTCCTGGCATATGTAAGCTCCCAACACATAAGTGCTGAGCCAGTAAACTATACAACAAAATATGAAAAAGAATGTTTCTAACAAGAAACCAAAGTGAAAAGGGCAGAATATGAAATTATTTATAAATCATGACAATACCTTCTTCTATAAATTAGGGGCAAATGGCCAAAGCCAGAAGGAATTGCTCAAAACTGCAAAACAGCTATTAGGGTCTAATGAATCAAGGGAGATTTTACACATGTTTAAGTATTTTCTTAAACATTTGGCACATTCTTTTACTGATTCAAAAGGATACTAATCAAGAAAAGGAGGGCTGGCTGGCAGAGTGGCTGAAGTGGTAAGAGGGCCTGCCTAGCAAGTGTGAGGCCCTGAGTTCAAACCCCAGTACTCCTCTGCCCGCCTCCCACCAAAAAAAAAAGGAGAAAGACATTTTTGTTTGTATTTGACTTCCAAAATGAAAAATGGACATTTCCCTTTCTGAAGTTCTCCAACACATAAACTTACTTTAACAAACTCTCCCCTTCCCACTCCTCAGCATCTCAAACAAGACCTAAGGTCCTGAGATGGAACCAGTGCTAAGACTCACTTTGTGAGTCTTTGCTATCAGGATGCTTGTTTTAAAACCTGAACTTGTCCAGCTTGTCATTTAACATTTACTTGTTTTTTTAAAAAAATTCTCAAAAATACAATTTGCATTCCCAAGCGATTCCCAAATACCATCTAATTAAATCATTCAATCAGAAAACAAATTAAAATGAAATATCACTGCAATTCCCAAGAGAAAAATAAACTTCTAGTCATGACTAGAACAGATCTCTTGGGTGACGCTCCAAAGCCTCTTCTAATTGCAAGTCCTATCCAACACCCTGCAGAACATTCTGTGACATTTGCAGCTTCCGGGACAACTTTGCTTCCAAAGAGGAGCCTGAGCAAGACTCCAAATCAAAACATATCCTTTGGAGAATGGCAATGCTTTCATTAATAACCAGTTGGTGCACTGGGCGTCAGCACTGTGTACTCATTCATTCATCTGCTCTTCTCTCCAGCACCCACTCTCTGCAGACATGCCAGGAACTGTCCTAGGTGTCAGCAAGCAGTAGTTAAGTGAATGTGACCTCTGCCCACTTCAGGAGGAGCTGCCCAAGTTTGTCTGTGGAAAGAATCTCCAAATGAGCAAGTTACTAACACCATCATTCCTCTGAGGTCTTTTACCCTGACACCATTTCCATTGCTGTCAAATAATGCCAGGAGAGTACCCTTCTCCATGTGACCATCCAGCCCTCTCGGAGACAGTATAATATGTGGCTGAGAACATAGACTCTGAAAAAGGAAGCCCAGCAGATGCTAGTACCTCCCTCGCCTCCAGAACCAAGGCAAAATAAACCTCTTTTCTTTATACAGGAAGGAAGGAAGAATGTGAAAAAGAGAGGGAGGGAGGGAAGGAGGAAAGAAAGGACATAGTGGCTCATGCCAATAATCCAGAGGACATAGGTTTGAGGCTAGCCACAGCAAAAAGCCACCAATAGCTGGGCATAGTGGTGCACATCTGTCACCTCAGCTACATGGGAAGAGTAAAGAGGAGGATCGAGGTCCAGGCTAGCCAGGGCATAAGCATAAGTCACTACCTGAAAAATAACTAAGCAAAAAGGAATAGGGACACGGCTCAAGTGCCAGAGCTCCTGCCTACCAAGCAGGAGGTCCTGAGTCCAACCCTTACTACCACCAAAGAAGAAGAAAGAAGAGGAAGGTGTGGTGGTACATATCTAGAATCCCAGCACTTGGGAGGCTAAAGCAGAAAGATCACAAGTTCAAAGCCAGCCTTGGGCTACATGGTAAGAACATAGACCATGAAGCCACACAGAGTTTAATCCTTATACTATTGTGTACCATGGTCTGACCCTGGACAAGTCAAATAACCTCTCTCTCTTGAGCCTTGGTTTCCAACTCTGTAAAATGGAGCTAATATTACCTATCTCATAAGGTTATAAGAAGGAAATAAATCAACTTTTGGAAAGCTCTCTCAATGGGGCCTAACTTTTAACTCTTCCTATCCCCTCAGCTCAGCAATGTAAAGTGGATTGTTCAAAAGCTAACTAGAGGGCACTTAACCGTGGACACACTTTCCCCTGCCTTCAGAGCACTGCACTTGGCCAGTCCAGACTTTGTAGGCCCTTAACTATGTTCCCTAAACCTGAGCTGGGGGACAGCTCAGGCAGACTGGAGAGAACTGTCAGTCATCAGTATAGCAACCAAGTAACCTCTATCCTCTGTCTGCCTCCTTTCTAGTCTTCCCCACCCCACTGTGGGCGGAGGCTTTGGCCTTTTGGAATACCCAAAAGGGGCCAGGAACATATTCAAGAGAATTGAACCAGCACATGTTTTAAGAATCCTGCCCTTTTTTTTTTCCCCATCTCTCCCAGTTTTGTCAGGTATATATTTGAAAGTTCTAAACAATACATAAGGTTTCCTGGGAGAAAAAAATCACAAAGGCTCTTTTTAACTTTACCATTGCAGTGGTTTTCATGGACAGCCTTAGAAATCATCAAATCATGTGATCTGGTCCACATTCAGCATGATCAGTGCCTGCTCTGGGCTTAACTCACAGGTTCATAATATCTCCTCACTGCTTCCTACAACAGTACCCAGCTCACCTCCTCCCTGACCAGAAAGAAAGGCACATGAGAATAATTTTGAACACACCACACACACACACACACACACACACACACACATACTCACAGAAAATGTGAATGAAAATCTCTCAAAATCTGTGGGCAAAGTGGAAATGTCAAAGCAAGGCATGATCTTAGGTCTCCTAGGGAACATTGGAAAAAACCCTGGGGCAAACGTCATACTGGTAGTGGTTATTAATTGTCAATCCTGACCTAAGAGATGGAAAATGACAAGTAAGAAATAGCAACAGGCACCAGTCAGATAGACAATGTGGTCTGCCAACCCCAGTGCCAGATTGAGAGGCAGAGGCAGGTCTGGAGCAGAAGCTGTCAAGGGCTGCTTTTCTGGGGAAGTGTCAAAGCTCTGGCTTGTTTTAAGTCATTAAGCAAGAAGCAGAATGGGTTAGGACATACACAGCACTCAGCCTGAACCTGGCTGAGCCTTCCCACGTAAGGAACTGCTCTGGCCACCTGGGAGAGCACAGTAGATTCAGACAGAGTAGGTCCCTACCCTAGAAAGGGCAGCAAGGGCAAGGGTTGGAATCCAGACACCTCTTGTGAACAAGACAGAGAGCTCCTGAGGCAGGCCCTATATTGCCAAGGTCTGCTGTGTGCGGCGCCAGTGCTTGGGGGGCTGCCAGGTTTACAGGTGAACAAGGCTCCGCACTGCACTTAAGAAGCTCGTAGAAAGCAAGCGGAACCGGGAGGTGACGAAAAAGAAACGAAAGACCAGACCGACATGTGTGCACACACCGGACTCCAGTACCTGGAACTCCATCCTTTCCCTGTGACAGCTCATCCTACAGGTCGCCGCAGGAGAGAGTCCGGTATCCCACCCTCCTTTTGGACCCCACCATGGCCTGGAGCGCACCCGCCCGCCCTGCGCAGCCTTGGACTCCAACACCCAGCATGGGTCTGTCTGCTCCGCCCTGGCTGCTTCCCGAGCCTGGGAATGGAGCTGCTGGAGGGATCGGCCTTCATCCGGTCCCGGGCGGCTCCGCTGGGAAGGCGCAGCCCAGGGCGGATTCTCTCCGTCGTCCTGGGCGGAGGCGCCACCGCAGTGGACAGAGCGCAAGCTCCAGCGCTTCTTCTCGGGTTTGACACCTGCTCCCATAGAGGGTCCTGGACCTGTGAGCTGTGGTGGAGAGGAGGACCGATATCGATTTAAGCAGCCCCCAGTAAGAGATGTCTCTCCGCTCTCACTCCGCATCCCCAACCCTTTACTGACCAAGCACAGAGAGGCACAGGGGCTGGGACCAGGTCCAGGGGCTTGGGCGATACAATTTTCCTAGCCTGGACTTATCCCGCAGACTGCGGGTCCTAAAAACCAACAACCAGGGCCACGCAGGCTTCTCGCCCGTCCCTTGCAGTGATCAAATGAGCTCTTTTGCCCTCGTTCTCTCTCTTTCACATACACAAAACATCCACACTCCACGCTGGACTTGTGTGCGATTTCAAGAGCCCGCAAGCAACCACCCTGGAGTCACACGCACATTTGGACACGTGCGTAGCGCGCCCCCATACCGACTGCAAGCTACACCCGTGCGTGCAGCCCCGCGCACACACATGTGCCCTGGGGAAGCGCGCAAGGCTGCAGACACTGACGGTCCCACACACAGGCGAATGCATACACGGAGTCCCCCCCTCCACTACCACCACCACCTAGCATCTGCGGCCCCAGAGCCCCGCGATCGCTTGGGTTGACGCGCTCTAGCCCCAGTGCACCCCGCGCGGTACCGGGCACTCCCGGGCCTCGTGGGCGGCCCAAGTTTCCCAGGGCGCCCGTACCTTGGATGTGCTGCTTGATGACATTCTCCAGGTGGTCCAAACGCTCAATAATCTTCAGAGTGTCCCCTTTGTCTTCGTCCAGCTTCTTGTCGGGCGCCGGCTCCTGCCCCCGCACATACACGCTAGCGATGTAGTTGGTGACCCAGCCTACGTAGAGCAGGCATATGATGTTGGTCATGCCACTCAGGATCACGCAAGTGGACACCAAAGTTTTGGTCTTCCTGGTGCACACCATTCTGGGCTCCCTCCTCCATATAGAGCTCCCAGGGGCCCCTCTTTTCTGCTGCGCCTGGGACTCCCCCGCGCTCACACCCCCTAGCACGCCTGGACGATGGGCGCTTCAGCACCTGAGTCTAGAGGTTCTCCAAAGCCGGGTCCGCGGACTATGGAGCCGCCGTACCCAAGTTTGCAGCTCCCGCCGCCGGCTACCCGGAGAGAGAAGCTTGACAAAGGAAATGAGATGGATTTTTTTTCCAAATTAAAAATCCCTGAGCCCTTCCCAGAGCGGTCACTAGTGGCTGACAGCCGTGCGACCCGATACGCACGTCTGGGAAACTTTGCCACTGCCTGGGTCCGCGGCCGCGCCGCTTCCCATCGCCCGGCTCCTGCTGCCTGGGCGATCCGACCAGCCCGCGCTGCAAGCAGGACGACAGCGGCGGCGGCGGCGGCGGCGGCGGCGGGGAGAGCAGCGGAGCAGCGCGGCCCGGCCCCCTCCGAGAGACAAGCGCCGCCACCAATCGCGCAGCGGCTCGGGAGAGGGGCCGGGGCTGGGCGGCCGCCGACCAACGAGGAAGGCGCGTGGAGGTGGAGACAGGCCCCGGACCCCACCTGCTGGCCGCCCTAGCTCCCGCCCCCAAGAGACACGCCTGAGCCTCCACCCGCGCCGGTGCAGGCTGCCCGGGACCCGAGCTCCCCGCGACAGCACGCCGCCAGTACCGGTCCTCGGCCCGCAGATTCTGCTTCTAGGGGAATTCCTTCTCTTGCTCTTGCCCTGGCTTCTGGGGGTTCACGCGGCCTACATCCCCTCACCTGCCCTGGCGGGAGTCTTCTTGTGCTGGTCCCAGTAGGGGACTGACTTCTCCACCCTCTTGTCCCGACGCAGAGAGACCACCGATGTGGTCAGGCCCTGTGGGTGTCCCCTCCTTTCGTGGCCTCACTTTGACCTCCACCCTGCCTGCCACCCTCTTTTGCCGGCCTCCTGGTTATCACCAGACTTGGCAAATGTCAAAGGCGCCCAGCCTCCTAGAAGCAGCATTAGTGACCTCTTAGAAGTCTCCAGACCACCAATCCTGGCTCCTAAGTTTTTGCCTATATCTGCATTTTTCTTTAAGTCCTATGTCGTTTCCAAGACAAGGCCGCATCTTGCAACCCCAGTTGTCACTCACGTGGGACTAGGCTAATCCCAAGTGCATAGGGAAACCCTATGCGGAAATGGCCCTAGAAGAAATGAAGCTCTCTGTGAACGGTGCAGCCCCTACACACGTTCTTCCTTATGACTGTTGGGAGGATAATAGGACCGTGTTGGAGAGGGCGGTGACAGAGAGCAGAGGGGCGCCACTGTGTTTCCTGCTAGAGCAAATGTTTATTCATATTACCCTCTTCAACTGAACATTACTTCTCTGCACCTGAACAGAATTCTTTAAACAAAGACTTTTAAAACACATTTCCCTACTCCATTCCGGAGTTGCATTTTTCTGGCTGGAAAGTGGCCTGAAGGCATGTCTACCTTGCATGCCAGCTCTCCAACCAGCCGTGGGAATACTCAGGGTGGCTCCCACAAGTGAAGTTTTTAGTTTTAAAGCACTCTTCCTTCAAAAGACGAAGCCCACATTATGTCCCGGGCAGCCAAGGGCCCTTTAACCAGAGCTTTGCTGACAAAAACTCCCAAAAGATGCTGTGAAAGTAGACCCCAACTAAAGACAGGGAAGATTTCTTTTACCCCAGCTTGAGGAGTGGGTGTGGGTTGGGGACGGGGGGACCGAATAGGGTGCATGTGTGCAACACATTCATGAGAGGAGAAAATGTGCAGAATTTCTATTAAAAATATCAAGGTAGAAAAATCTGCCGCCTGCCTGCATAAGGAAGAAAAAAACTATCTCACCCTTTCTTCTTCTAGAAGCGTAATTCAGCTCGCCAAGAAAAGGCCTGAGCTTTCTCCAGGCTGCAATGGACTTCCAAGCAAAAGAACAACTGATGATAAAGGTGTAATCTAGGGTTCTACTCCATGTCCCCTTCTAGAAGGAGCCCTGGAAGTTCAGCTTGTCCCAGGATCTTCCTAAATCACAAGATTTAGACACAGAGCACACAGACTTATTTTTCCCATTCCGCTGGGAAAAGAAGAAACAAAAGCTTAAAAAAGGCGAGGGTCAAGAATGTGTAACCTTACATTTTGTACCAGCTGATCCTCTAAGATGATGTGTGACTGCAGAGGGCAAGAATACAACACAAACACCAAAAAAGAATGCAGAACAGGCCCTCCTTTCTGAAAAGTCGCAGGGTCCAGGTGACCAGTGCAGAGAATATTCGCTGGCGGTATTAGTCAGACTCCAGCATTCTAATCCTTGCTCCACCATTATTAGTCACGGGAGCTTGGACAAGGTCCTGTGAACATCACTGGGGCTCGATTTCCTCCATATAGCAGATATAAATGATATCTTGCTGAAGGACAGATTGTGAGGATTGAAGGAGAGAATGTTCCAGAAGGGATGTGGATGAGGATTGTGTGAGTATCCTTCTAGGGCATGGTCCCTCTCTTCCGGGCTTGAATAGAGCTCCATGAACTCCTGTTTAATAATACTTGGTTTTTCTATCAACCAATATCAGTTCTCTCTCCTCTAATGGAAACTACAGGAACTAAAGCCATAGGCAGCAAGGGCTTCGTCTCATCTCAGCCAGCTGGGCTCCAATACATTGGTTTTCTATTCATAATGTCTGTCTTTGCCATCAGCAGTGCAGTGATCTGCATAGGTTGATAGGATTTTCAAAACAGAAGGCTGGTTCTCCCCAGGTACTGGTTGCCCTGAATACCCTCAATTTTCTACTCAACAAGCCAACCCTTGGTACAAACAAGAGAAATGGAAGAGGCTACAAAGACTTTACTTACAAAGCTTTTGAAGAGTCACAAGGTCAGAAAGGAGTTAGCCTACACACAAGCTCCTTATAATCGATTTCTGGGCAGAGATTCATATCTTTGGCCCTTAGTTCAATTGCATTCAATCCAACATGTACTTATTGAGCTCCCGAAGTTTTGTCTGAATGACCAGTTGCCCTGTACACTCCCCATTTTTCTCCAGACATGTAGCATAATCTGAGATTCATAATCTCAATATGGGTCTCTTTTCTGAGCCTAGAAGGCTGATAATAATCATCCCTAAACTGTGAAGATGTTTCTGATTCTAAAGTTAGGTCATTTATCAAACTCCTATTCCTTTAAATACATCCTGCCTCAAGGGTCATTATCAGACTGCCTGATGTTTAGCAGAACCAAAGAGTTAATCAAATGAATATCAACAGAGACTCTAATATAAAGTTGTTCTTTAAACTTACTCTGAGGATTTAAATCTGGAGTTCTCCCTCAAGAGGAATTTGGTACCTTAAAGACTATACAAAAGGGGATGGAGATTCTTGATAACATCTTCCCCATCCAGACTTTGGATTTCACTCAACTTTTACATTGAGGAGGCTGCTGTTCTCCTGGTGTGATTTAAGGACAAGCTAAGTAGGAGTTCTTACCTTGATGTACAGCCACACTGTCATCCACCAACACTAAGCTTTCCTTCAAAATGTCTCTGAAGTGAGGGTTAGGAAAAGCCAATCATTAATGGAGTTCAGTCACCAACCCATTACCTTCTGGGTGGGACCCTGACCTGAGAGTTAAAGGGGAACAGTGAACCAACTTTGGCCAATGGCAGAAGTCCACTCCTCAGAGGGTTGTCAGTGGCTGCCTATCCCCAGCAGATGGCAGCACCATGCAAAGCCTTGGGCCAGATACGCCCATTCAGATTTGGGGCTCACTAGGGAAAAAGGTCCTGACATGGAAAGTCTCAATCCATGAGCTTGGTGCATAGGAAGTGGGCTGCCAGGTTCCTAAGGGACCAGGGATTGTTGGGCTTCCAGCAAGAAAGGATACTAGGTTCAAAGATTAAAGATAGGAAGATCCAAGATTGAATTCTGCCAAGGTACAAGTCTAAGGTGTCATTAACAGAAAAGGCACATTTCTGGTATAGAAATGGTAAATGAAGAGAGGAACATTGGTCTGATGCCAACTTTGTGCCAAGGTTGTATTTTCATCTGTTGCTCTTGAGCACAGACTAGGGAACTAGACAACTGGGTTCATATTCCAGATCTGCCATTTACTAGCTATATGATCTTGGGCAGGTTACTTAACTGTTCCATGCATCTGTAAGATGGGGATAACATTGATAATATCAATCACAGGAGCTGTAGTAAGAATTAGATGAAATAACATATATAAAGCACACCCAAAGCACTAGGGCCATTGTTATTATTACCCCCGAGCATCAAAGAATCTAAAAGGTAAGTGAGGAGGAAAAAGCAAGCTATTCAGAGACAGTTTTCCTCTAACTAGGAGCAAAGTGTCTAGCAACTAGTAGTAAAGAGTCTAAGTCTTACTCTTTTTCTTTCACCTTATTCCAGTACCCAAAGCATCAACTTGCTGACCTTCAGGGCAGATACTGAGAGAATACTGAAACTAGGTCCATCCAACCCCCCTTCTGTCCACTTAGTTATTCACTAAGTGGAGCTCAGTGCTCAACTCCATGCTAGGTACTGGTGACCCAGAAACAACTCAGACTATATCCCTGCCCTGCACCCTTCTAATGGAGAAAGCCAACAAAGGGACAACTATAATATGGTAGGAAATGCTCTTATCTGATACGTGACAGAGAAAGGCACCATCTTCCTCCCCAACAAGTGGTTGTACAATTTCTCAACACCTTCACTGCCGTTCTATCACTGGACAGCTCTGCTGGTCAGAACTTTCTTCCCCAGAAGAAAATATTTGCAAGATAATAAACAAACCAAGGATTGATATGCAGAATATATAAAGAATTCACATAAAGTATAAAATAGAAGAAAATCTATCCAAATTAAAACATAGGCTAAGAATATAAGGAGACCATAAAGAGCAAATATAATGGCCAACAAACCTACAAAAGGATGCTTAAGCTTGTTAAAAATTAGAAATATATTTTTTTAATGTAGCTGCCATAGCTCACCTATCAGATTGACAAAAAAATGTAATATGGTAATTTTTAAGTATTAGCAAGAACATGTGAGAAATAAGTTCTCCCATATTCTGATGGTGGGAGTATAATTAGTACAAACACTCTGAATGTAACTTGGTAGTAGCAGTGAAAGTAAAAATGTGCAAACCCTATGATCTTGAACCCAAAGTGTAGTCCATGACCAGATGCATTGGCATCCGCTTATTAGAATTGCAGACTATTAGGCCCAACCCACATCTACTGAATCAAAATCTGCATTTCAGTGAACCTATGGCCATAGATTTTCATTTGGAAAAGAATCAGTGGTAGCAGCCAACTTTTGAACTTCTTACCAGGTCCATCTGTAATGTTTGAATTTTTAGACTGAATATTTCTTAATGAAATGCTTTCAAAATTAGAATTATTCTTTAATATGAAAAATGATTCCTCTGGTTG